CAGTAGGAACAGCATCAAACACAGTCTACCCAGTAGAGTCAAACATGCACAGCATTCAGAGTGGTCTTCTAGAACCCAACATAACCCAGCACTGCAACAGACTAAAGCACTCCTGGACATCTATAATGTTTGATGCAGGATATGGGGAGGTAGCTAGACAACCCACCCAGTGACATTACCTAACATAACACTGAAACATAACATAATATTATTACCTTACCTTACATAACACTAAAACATAACATAACATCATTATCTAACATAACACTGAAACACAACATAACATCATTACATTACATAACACTGAAACATAACATAACATAACATAACATAATTTCCTAACATACACTCTTAGAAAAAAATGGTTCCAAAAGGGTTCTTCAGCTGTCCCCATAGGAGAACCCTTCTTGGTTTCAGGTAGAACCCAAATGGGTTCTACCTGGAACCAAAAGGGTTCTACCTGGAACCAAAAAGGCTTCTTCAAAGGGTTCTCCTATGCGGACAGTTGAAGAAACATTTTAGTACCTTTCTTTTCTAAGAGCTTAACATTGAAACATAACATAATTTCCTAACATAACACATTGAAACATAACATAAACATAGATAGACATATATGATAAATTCTCCAAAATACAGTAACCTCCTCCAGGTATGAGCCCTGCCCATAGACTGCAGTATTGATGCCCACCTGCCACTGAGCAGAGCAAGCAGCCAGGAGCCAAAATGGAGAGGTGTGTGTGCGTGCATGTGCCATTTCGCACTCACATACAATGCCATTTCCCCCTCTTATGAATAGAAAAGCTACAGCAGCAGCTCAGAGCCGTAGAAGCCAAGTAGTCAATAATCACTGCTGTACCTGTTCTGAGATTCACTGAACTGAGGCACAGATTCCAGACGAGATACTGTAATCAATTATTCAAACACTTCCTTGCATCCATTTGTTGCGATAAATCCTGGACATAGCACTGCACTGCACTACGGCTGGCTGAGGAGAAAGCACAGAGAATACAGAGACAGACAGACAGAGAGAGAGAGGCTGAATGGGAGGATTGTACTCACATGAATTTCCAGGCAGCCTTAGAGAGAAGTGTCAGCATCCAAGTCCACACAGAGAGCTGTCCATTGTTAGAGTCCTACTGTGTTATAACAGAATCCACAGAGAGGACGGCGATTCAGGAATAAAATCGCAAGGTCTGCAGTGTTTGGGAAGAGAAGGAGAGAGAGAGACCGGGAGGGGAAAATAGAAAGGAAGGGAAGGAGGGGCGCGACCCATACAAAGACTGTTGGAGGATTGGCTAGAGAGCAGTGGGAGGAGTTTGGCTGTCCAATGGGATATACTGTATGTAAATTAGATGTAAATGTTGTAGAGCATCCTCAGAATGTGATGGAAGGATAAAGACTGTCTGCTGCAATAGGGTGTGACCTGTTTTAAAGCCCGCCCCCTGCCCATAAAAGGACAAAGGATGCTTTTCACTGCTTCCTCTGGTTCCCCTACTGTCTGAATCAGGGTGCTATTTAAGACATAAGGAACACATAGAGAAGCTGTAGAGAAGACAATGGCCAAGCCCTAATGACTGTATTTACCATGAATAAGTATAGTTTCATGGGTAGCCTAATGGTCTAGACAACTAGGATAAAAAGGGGGGGTGAACCAGGATTCCAAACAAGATTCCAAATAATGGATCTAGGGGTTGGAGAAACCCACAGTAGAAATGGCTTATCTTTATGCACAGTCAGTACAGGATGAGAAGTGGAGGGGGTGATGGAGGGAAGAGGGAGGAGATGGAGCGATGTGAAAACAGTAGAGCAGACCAGCTGGGACTTCTATATCCTAAAGGGTGAAAGACAAGAGGGTGGGGTGGTGCTAGGGGTTTGGGGGGTATGGATGGGGGGTACTTGTGGGGTGCAGTGGAGCATGCAAGGCGATGCTTTCAGAAGTGGTGTCTAAAAATACCCCAATCCACACCCAATAAGGCCATCCCTTGTCCCTTTATGGTGCACTACTTTTGACCGGGCCCATCGGGAAATTAGTGCACTATATAGTGATGCCCTATTTAGGGAAAGAGTGCCATTTGGAACGCAATCCAGGAGCGTCTCTAGTGTTTCAACAACAAAGGCTTTGTGATCCTCACGATTCTTTTGTTCTCTTCCACAGCCATAAAGTACTTCATTAAGGGGTTTAGAAAACTGGTGCATCTAGGTGGAGGAGATAGAAAGAGAGAGAGGGAGTCAAAGGAGAGAGAGAGGAGGGAGATAGGAGGTGATGTGTTTATGCTGACACAGGTGTGGCGGGGGTAAAGAGGGGGAGGGGCGGGCATAGGCGGCCGTCTCAGGGTTGCATTGTAGGAGATGGGGTTGCTATGGAGACTGCATCCAGCCCAGATGGCAGCCAGGCAGACAAGCAGACTCAGCAGCAGCCACAGAAACCAGACTGTACAGTAGATAGCAGAGACAGACTAGCTGCTCCTCCTCTACACATACATAACGTCTGTGTCCCAAATGGCACCCTATTTCCTATATAGTGTACTACCTCTGGTTGAAAGTGGTACACTATATAGGAAATAGGATCCCATTTGGGACACAAGCATATAATGTTCAAGCAATAACTGTCCTCAGTCATAATGGTAACTCTTATCCACACATCTGTCTGTTTGTTTGCATGCTTATCAAGCGCTTGATTTAGAGCAGGAGGACAGCATTCAATATATACAGTGGCTTGCGAAAGTATTCACCCCCCTTGGCATTTTTCCTATTTTGTTGCCTTACAACCTGGAATTAAAATGGATTTTTGGGGGGTTTGTATAATTTGATTTACACAACATGCCTACCACTTTGAAGATGCAAAATATTTTTTATTGTGAAACAAACAAGAAATAAGACAAAAAAACAGAAAACTTGAGCGTGCATAACTATTCACCCCCCCAAAGTATATACTTTGTAGAGCCACCTTTTGCAGCAATTACAGCTGCAAGTCTCTTGGGGTATGTCTCTATAAGCTTGGCACATCTAGCCACTGGGATTTTTGCCCATTCTTCAAGGCAAAACTGCTCCAGCTCCTTCAAGTTTTTAATGTAGTGTTTTTTAGTGTCTTTTGGTGTTTTTTCATGAGGATCATCACAAAGGTTTATCCAAATAATACATCACGACTCAAGTCACAAACAGTGCCACACTGATGTCCGTTGCCTGGAGAGCCCAGAAGTTCAATAGGTTTAACCCACATTCACTCCTCTCTCCCAGAGATCTCTGCAACACAACAAGTTAATCCATTACCCACCCCCTGGGGTCTGCCTGCCTGGCCTAGCTAGGGGTAGGCTGGGGGAGGCAGGGGGTCCCTACGCCTGGTAGAATGGCAGACTGGGGAGCATGAGTACGTGCTGGAGGAGGCAGGGGGGGGGGGGGGGGGGGTACATTCTGGGGCTTCATGCTGAGGCAGGGGGTCCTTGGTCCTGGTAGAGCGGCAGGCTAGCTGGGGTAAAGGTGGGTACATCCTTGGGGAGGCAGGTGGAGGCTTGGGTGCCGGGGGCCACATACTGAAGCAGTTTGGGGAGTACTTGTTGGGTCCCTGGCTCTCTCCCTCCATTGTGCTATGCCACCAGGTGCTGGTAGCTTGGGCTGCATCCCAAATGGCACTACTTTGGACAAGGGCCCATAGCCTGGCTCTCTCCAATTCTGAGACTGAGACCTTAATAACTTGGTTTGGGATTAGTGCCGTCCTCCCCTCCATGTAGCTGCCTGCCATTCAGCTGGCTGTGCCTGGCTAAGAGACTGGCTGTCTTTGTAACACTGACCCCAATAAGAGCAATACAATAGTGTTTGGTTGTTTGTATAAGACTACTAAGAGCATACGGGAAATATTCACCATGCTTGTTTTCTTTTCAAAACAGCAAGAGAAGAGGAACACCTTCATAAAAATAAGAAATTACGTGATAAATGTAATACAAAGCACTTCTATTCTTTAACAGTCTGTCCATTAAATTATTTTATCTTAATACTGTGTACTTCTCTTTACAGGCCCTCGTCGCTCTAAATTAATTGAATGTAATTTCTACAGCTCTGTAAATATATCCTCTTGCAATATAATTTAATAGTACTGTATATGGTAAAGATAGTTCCAGTATTTTCCAAGACAAAGATCACATTGGCTCCTCCTACTCAACAGTGGTTTTATTTTGCTATGCATATTCAGTCAGAAGAATACTGATGTAAATATATTACTATTATTAAAGACATTGCTAAACATATTACAGTAAGTGCCATGCTCTTCTCTGGGGGAATATGAGGTGGTAGAATAAATAAACAGTGATTTGTTGGTGGCCTACAGCAGTGGCTCTCAACCCTTTGCGGTTACTGTACCACCAATTTAATTTTACTCTGCCCGGAGTACCCCTGAAGTACCCCCTCATGTGCATTTTACCAGTAGTCCTATGGTCTTTTGAGTTTTCTTAAGTACCCCCTGTGGATAGGCCAAGTACCCCTAGGGGTCCTAGTACCCCTGGTTGGGAACCACTGGCCTACAAGCACACTTCATGTGGCGTTGTTATCTCACTCTGCCACCTAGTGGAATAAAGTTCACACTGCTCTTTTGGACAAATTCTCCCAGTCCCAACAGATCATTATTTTCCACTTCAAATCCACTTCAACAATCCCCTTGAATTAAACCTTTATAAAATCAATGGATGGATGGATATACATATATTTAATAGTCCATAGGGCCAGGTCCATAGAACAATGTAACATCTGTCTGAGTAGTCTGAATCTGTATTAATAGATGAATCAGGAGTCTATAGCACATCTAGGGTCTATATCCTTGTTGTTAGCAAGGCTTGCTCTTCTTTCCCAGGCATTCAAAGAAGGACATGAATCCATAGCAGTCTGGTTTGGGTTTCGGGCTCAGGGCTTGTCCAGGACATACTCCTTTGTCCGATTCTCCTGGTTCAGCTCTATGTGTGTAGGTCTCTCTGCTGACACTCTTGGACACAAGGTCTTGGACACAAGATTCCTCACTTTGGCCTGCTCCTCTCTCCCAGGCGTTTAAAGAAAGACATGAATCCATTGCCCTCTGAAGATTTGGGCTTTGGGCTCTTAGAGGGGTTAGCCATATTGTGTTTGGGGCTCTGAGGAGGGTCAGCCTGTTTGGGTTTCTGGGAGACGAGTGTCTGGAGAGGGGTGGGAGAAAACTCCTTTATCTCCTCATCCTGGTTGTGGTTCAGTTCTAGGTGTAAGGGGGGAGGTTTTGTCTTGACTATAGAGGAGCTCTTATCTTGGTTCAGCTCTCCTAGCTCCATGTGTGTAGGTCTCTCTGCTGCTGACAAGCTGTTGGACACCTTGTCCTGCTGGGCACCAGATGTCTCAGAGTGGTGAGGGATGGTGACTCCCGCCAAGCCTCTGTTTTCAGAGTCCCTGGGAATGTTGAGACTTGCTGTCAAGACTTTGTGTTTTGACATGGGGCTCTTAGACTCCAGGTCTTGGACACAAGACTTCTCAGAGTGGCCAGGGAGGTTGGTGAGGTTGGGTCCTCCAGAGGCTCTGTGTTTCGAGGACATCATACCAGTGTCTACTGACTTCATCCTCCCTGTGACCCCCAGAGTAGGAGTAGGAGTAGTAGGAAAAGTGAACAGATCATCTTCCTCCTCTTCCTCAGTAGGAGGGGCTTTAGGGGGGAGGGTGAGGGTGTGTCTTCGGGTGAGTATTCCCTTGGGGGAGAGGTGAGGGTTGAGGAGGTATCTAGCCAGGCTCTCGCTGCCTCTACATGCATCCCCCAGCAGCCGCTGTCTGTCTTCTTGGAAGGTCCTCTGGTGAGGGGAGGTGGAGGAGGAGGTGATGGTGGTGATGGTGGAGGATGTAGCATTAGTGGTCGTAGCGTTGGGTGATCTTGTGAAGGTGGAGGTGTTAGTATTATTGGTGGCATTAGGAGACTTCTGCTGCTCCGGGACATACTCTCCAGATGAAAGACTACCACGGCTGCTCTGATACCTCAGAACCTTCCTGGACACTTCACGCAACTTCTGGGCTTCTTCCTCATTTCCCCCCTCCTCCTCTTCCTCCTTGTCCTTCATCGTCACTGAGATGGGTCTACCTGTGGAGGGGCAGGAGGAGGAGCTGCTGCTACTGGTTCTCCTGGTTGGCTGTGTAGAACCAGAACTAGAACCTCTGTGGTTCTGTTCTGGTTTCTTAGGGTTCTGCTGTGTCTCCTCAGGATGTGGAACCATGTTCTCCTTCCGGTTCCTTTTGCTGTGGGACTGGTCCTTCTGGTCGCTCTGAGAGGTCCCAGTCAGGTCTCTGGCTGAGTTCCACTCATTTTCCTTACACACCTCCGTGGCCTTGACAGAACCTTGGTTTCTCATTTCTGCCGAGGGGATGTTTGCTTGAATGGGGACCTCTGATAGGCTGCTACTGGTGGGGGAGGGCGTGCCCAAGCCTCTTTTCCTTTGGGACACACGACTGGTCAGGAGCCTAAATCAAATCAAATCAAACTTTACTCAAAGTACACATGAATGTCATAACATACTTTTACAGAAAAAAATTAAAACGCAATACAAAAATAAAAACACTAAATAACAGATTATATTTCAAAAGAGAAGTATGACTAACTTCCGTAGTACGGACTCCAGGGCCACACCCTCCATGTCCTTGTCCCGTATGGAGCAGGTGGCAGTGGAACGGCGTTTAGCAGCATTAGCATCACTCAGAAGTCTGTCTCTGGTTCTCCTCTTCACCTCTGCCACCTCACGATCACAGTTCTCCTACACACAGATACATACAATAACACACGTTAGGGAGCCAGAGACAGTGAACACTGGACTCTACCAAGAAAGCAGGGAAGGCTAAAGAGAAAACAGTAACTACAGAGACACTCAATGAAGACAAAAGCCAGCCAAAAGTCCTCACACAGAAAAGAGTGAGATGGAGATCAATGCTCCCAAGCGGGCCAAGATGTCAGTCAGTAAATCAGAGAGCATAAAATAATAGTATGCAAAAGGAGTATATACACTACTTTCTAAACCGTTTTTTACCTGGATGGCCCTCAGGAACTTCGCACAGAAAGAGTTGAAGATGGAGCAGCATTCATCCAGTCTGAACTTGCTGGGGTCTTCACAGAAGTACTCAGCCACTGAGTCACTGACTGAACCCAGCGACAGCAGAGAGAGCTCAGTCTCAGCCAGACGACACTCTGCTTCCTTCAGGGGACCACACACAGAACAGAAATAACTAAGTCTGTGTCCCAAATGGCACCCTATTCCCCAATAGGGTCGCAGACTACATTTCTGAACATACAGGGGACCACACACATCAATAACCTCATCACTGGTCCTAGAGTTGTAGATTCACCACCAGAGGTTATTAAGGCTATAACAAGGGCCCAGAGTTGTTCCTGGTCAGGTTTTGTGGTCAGGCGAAACTTGTGGCCCTGGAAACATTACATAGGTATACAGTATAGGGGAAGGTAGCGATACAAGATCTGAAAGGCATGGAGAATACACAGGCAGGCTACCTCACCTTCAGAAAGTCCTCCATCTGAGCCTGTAGCTCCTCCTGTTTCTGCGCCTCCTCCTTCGCCTCCTTTACTTTCTTCACCTCTCTCTGAAACTCACTCTCTATGTCCTCCTTATGGATCCTACAGGGGGGCAGAACACAAATATCAATCATTCAATACAGAAAAACAGAAAAGCACAATCATTACAATAGAATACCTTATTGTGGGGCAAACAGCAATATTACAGATATTGTTGAAGTGCGTAAGACACTGTGTATCTGTACCTTGCTGCATCGGCGATGTGTGTGAGTTTGTCTGGGAATTTCAGCAGGGCCACATCAACTTTCTGAGCTTGCTATAATCGACATAAACATGAACAACTATTGCATCAGAGAAAAACAAGATTCTAGATAAAGGATAAGCTTTAAATAAGGGTTCTCCTTACCATAACTACATAGTGCATGAGGTTCATGCCTGGTTTGTTGGCCCTTGTGTCCACTAGTTTCAGTAGCGATGCCATCCTGAAGCCGATGGCACTGCCAGCATAGCCACCCTGTGGACAAGAGAGAGACAGTCAGTCAGGCTGACAAATTAACCTATTTTTGTTGGGCTTACTCAAAGCTTCAGATGCTAACAATTTAGTTTACACCATAGATAAAGGTATACAGTATATAATATCATCTATGATATCATTGTTCTCCACTCACAGCGTTCATGTAGTTTCCGGTCTTCAGCACCAGGCGGATCACAGAGTGTAGGTCGTCACTCTCTAACAGCTCTGGAGGGACAGACAGACAGACAGACAGACAGACAGACAGACAGACAGACAGACAGACAGACAGACAGACAGACAGACAGACAGACAGACAGACAGACAGACAGACAGACAGACAGACAGACAGACAGACCGATGAGACAGTTGAGCTTTAGTACAGATACACATTGGCCTTATTAAGATCCAGATCACATGCAGATGCAAACTTTACCTTTTCCAGCTGTGATCATGGTAGCGATGGATTGTTTCATTTCATCCATGAGTGGGAAAAACTCTTCTTTGAGAACTAAACTGTTGAGGCGCTCCTCATAACTAACAGAAAGGGCAAGAATAATTATTCATATTCTATAACACAACTGGCATTCAAGACTTAGAAAACACAAAACTGTACAAAACGGTGAATTAGATGTTTGTAGACGGTTCAACACACACACACACACACACACACACACACACACACACACACACACACACACACACACACACACACACACACACTCACCTGGGAACCTTGATAAGTAGCACCATAAACAGGTCTGCTTCAGGAAGAGCTGACTGGTCCCCTTTAAACCCAACTAGTTGCTTCACCTGCACACACACAACAGGTAACAATCTTAGTAAGACACAGCATTACGGTAAGGGTTGTAACTTGGGAGAACGCTGTTATAACTGTCTCTCAAGCTAAATATGATCAGTTCACTGTGGTAGTTAGCATCAACAATGGCGGCAAGCTGGCGGCAATCCTCAGCTCACCCAATGGTGGTCGAACTGGAGTTTGCCCTATGCGGAACACGGGTGTCAAAGCGACAGTGGCCTGATCTATGCTTGCCTACTGGGAAAGGCTGTGTGAAGTACTGTACCTCTTCTTTCTCTGGCAGCAGCTTACACAGCTCCTTCAGTTTACCTGTCCCAAATTTCAGGCCGTTTCCTGAACTGATGTCCTTGATCATGTCCCCTACAGGCCTGGGGAGAGACACAGACACTGATCAGTTACTGTATCATAACCAACATAACTTTGGAAACTTCATCGACTGATTCATCCACTAGGTTCTCATAGGGGACTAGTCAAGGAGAAGAGCTGTGATTCATTCATCTCCAACTAAACAAAGTGGTTATTTTTCTGAATTACTCATGCTCTAGGGTTGGGTCTCTAAATGTGTTACTCATTTCCTCTGTGCCATGTTTCTTTAAGCCTGGTAAGCAAGGCTCCTTCTTTCCCCATTGGTTGAACACCCTCTTACTGCATTTTTCCACATAGCCAACCATAGACAAGCCCTTACCTGCTACACATATACACCTACTACAGCTGAACTGGAACAATGTTCTCTTTCCTCAGAAGCACAATAACAAAAACGCTGACACAAAAATACATTTAACAGAAAACAGAAAAGTGCATCCATAAATGGATGTTAAAAATAAATGTAATAACAAAACATTGAGATGATAAGGCTTTTATGTCTTACAGCTGTATGCCTTATTGCTTTTTGATTTTTCTGTCAGCGAGAACAGTACAATCTTCAGGAAATTAGGCACTGTAGCCAATGGCATGTAGTAATATTGTAATATATAACACAGTCATACTGTGGGCCTACAGAGAAAATCGTTTAGCAACACATTAATGCAATTTTTCAATAGTTAATCTGTGGAATGACCTGGTTGCACTGTTCCTGCATTAGTGATATCATGTGGAGCCGACCTGTTGGGACAAGCTGTTGTACCTCAGACACACAGAGCTGGGAATGTCAAGCAGCCTAGCCTCAGGACTATCTGGCCTTGCTGTCCCAAATTACACCCTATTCCCTATATAATGGACTACTTTTGAGCAGAGCCTTATGGGGCCAAAAGTAGTGCACTATAGGGAATAGGGTATCATTTGAGATGCAACCACTGTGTGTTCTTTAACCTGAAACACGTGGCTCTGACAAACCCTCCACACCTTCAGTTTACGAACGAGTCCCAAATGGCACCCTTTTCCCTATATAGTGTACTAATTTTGTTCAGACTCTGGTCAAAAGTAGTGCACTATATAGGGAATAGGGTGCCATTTGGAATGTAGACTATCTTTGCCTCTCTCTGACACACCTCTTGAACTGTTTCAGGAAGATCCCAACGTTCATGCTCCTCTTTGAGTTTAGTATGGAGACCTGTTGGTGGTGGGACACATAGGCATGAAGACATCAGTTAGTCAATAAATAATAGAACACACAAACGCACAAACATCAGTTGGTCATAACAGAACACACATACGCACACAGACACACACACACACATGAAGACATCAGTAGGTCAATAACAGGCGTTGAGTTTATCAGGAGCTTAGCATTTAGCTTAAACACTGCCTTCTTCTTTATAACAAATACATCCTCATTCCCAAACAACTGATTCCGAAGGTTAAGGTTTTACCGGTTTGATTGACTTGTTTTTGAGAGCCCATGATAAGCCATTCCTAAGTATTGCTCCTCTATCCTGAGTTAGAAACAGGGACAGGTAAGAGACTAAAGGCCAGTTTCAATAGCTCCACATTTGACCTTTATTGAACTGCCAAGGTAGTCTAAATGTGACAGCAGGGTGGTTTCACTAGCAAACAACAAGACACAAAAGTAGAGGATCAAAAATAGGTTTGTTAATATGACAATAGCATTGTATACCAGGACAATGATTCACAACAGTTCTGTAAAATCCCGACCGACACCTACAGAAAGGGAAGTACTGTATCTTAACTGAACCCACAGCCCAGTTCATTGTTATAGAGGTAGCAGTGAATACTGGTATACAATACATAAAAGTATCAACTGTATGGCAACAATTTGCAAATATTCGTGGTTAATTTACTCTCCCTGGGTAAACTGATGAAGAATAGTTAGGGTATATTGACTCCACCCACCCTTCAGTTCATACATCAAAGGATTCCAGGATGAAACACCACTGCATAAACATCCAATGTTTGTTAAGCAGAGGAACATTAAGAGGAGCATGTCATAGTTCCAATAAGCCATAAAATATCACACATGAAAAAGGGAAATGGATACATAGTAAAATGATGGTCATTAATTTAGTCGAATTGTGTTGCTTAGTCTAAATTTTTTAGTGTGTGGAACTAGTGCTTTATCTAGAAATCAGATTAGATAACCTCTGCTGGTGAACTCATGTTGCTTGCACAGTGCAAATATTTATAATCAATCTATTTTCTGAGAGTTTAGTCAAATCAAGCACCCTAGCAGTTGGCATTCAAATTATGTTATAGACTTGATAGGTATGTGGACAGAAAGGGAAGACAACCTTCCAGTTACAACATGTTAATGAATCATATAAAAAGAGATTAGGGTAGAATTGTCTCCAAGCTTCGCTCACGCTAATTGGTTTGTTTTGAACACAACATTTTCACTAATACATCGTTGCTTCCTGATGTACTTGAGTTTAATCCATGCTAGAGCCACACCAAGAGAGAGGCTGCTTCCCAACTGGCACCCTATTCCCTTTATAGTGTACTACCTTTAACCAGGGCCTAGACCAAAAAAAGTACCATCATGGAGACAAACAGGAACCATGGGCTGATGGAATTGATCTATTTCCCAACCTCCATCTAGCTACCTTAACCGTAACCCTAACCCTGGCCCCTATGACTACATGACTGAGCCTGTTACAACAGAAAGGCTGTAGGAAAACAACACATACACCCCAACTCCACAACACACACTCACTGAGAAAATCAATCAGGGTCTAAAGAACACATGTCAAAATATCCAATATCTTAGGTGGTAAACAGAACAAATATTCCTATTCAATACGCTGTGTCGGTCACTCGTCTACTCCCAGAAAGTATAGCTGCTCCAAACAAACTCTCAGGTGAGAAATCATGAGCAAGAGAAGAATGACAGGATTTTGCCATTGGAGAGGCCTTGGCTGGGACCAGATAGGATATGTATGCTTCGCACACTTATCTGATCAAGGAGCAAAATAGCTGATGTGGTTCCAGCTGATGTGGTACCTCTTGAACTCTCCTACTCAACTCCAACTGACACACTTCTCTCCAGCTGCAAGTATCAAGCTAGAGAAGTGCTTCCTGGTACAGAAGGTTAGGTCAACTCACCACTTCTGTGCCCTGGCTGTTGGTTGGCTTGCCTCTGAGACTCTGTCTGTTCATAGCCTTTTGTCCCTGTCCCTGCTGCTGGCTGTGACTGAACAGCTCCTCAATCCTCTGAGTGTCCAGCTCATACCCTCCCAGGGTCTTCTCTTCCGTCCAGATGTTGTGTTTGCCCACCACCACGTGTTTGGGGATTGCATCCCAGTTGAAGTTACGCATCTTGGAGCCGCTGCACAATGGTGGCCTCTGGATAGCCCGAAGCCCATGCCAGGGGGAGGAGGGGGGCCTGGGGGAGGGGGGCCTGGGGGAGGGGGGCCCGGGGGAGGAGGTGGGGGGGCAAGGGGAGGTGGTGGAGGAGGCGGAGGAGGGGGAGGAGGAGGAGGAGGAGGAGGAGGAGGAGGAGGAGGAGGTGGTGGAGCGATTGCCGATTCCATCTTTAGTTTAAAGGAATTAGATGGACCAAGGATCAGGAACAGATCATGGTCTCATTATGGCTTCATAATCACCTCCATTTCGTACACATAAGGCGTGTTCTTCGATTAGTGTTGAATATCAGTTATTGAAGAGGGTGATATAATCCTTCTCCTTGATTGATTCCTCCTGTAAAGAAACAATGGTACCGGTAGACTTTTAACACAGAATGGTAGGCATGCAACATAAATGACTTCCCTATACTGTATTGCCCAGAACAGAACAAGCCTCGTGACAATTGTGGCTAAAGTGCTCAAATGAGACACCATATCAAATGCTACATTCAAAAGACATTGAAAGCAGCCTAATGATAAAATACGTGTATGAATTTACAAATCAAAAGAATACATTCACCAGAAAAACTGAATACAGTAGGCTACCTATTTTTATCAGGTTTTCTCTTTATGCTACTAATGTGTTATAAGTAAGGGAAGAGGACTCTGTAGCCTACCTTATCTGCTCGATATGCAACGTTCCACCAAGAGTAAAAACAATTTCGAAACACCAAAAACTACCATGAGTTAGTCCGCTGTCTTCCCCTTCAAACCTCAACATCAGAGGTGTGAATTGAGTTTGCTACTACCACTGGTCCGCTCTTGGCGCTGTAACGTTTACACTAGATAACACAGCCACAAAGTCAGGTTCAACAGCCACATAGTCAAAATTGACAAAAAAAATTGTGTTAATTTAAGGTTAGGGTTAGGCATAATGGTAGCAGTGGGGTTAAGGTTAGGGATAAGGTTAGGTTTAAAATCCGATTTTAAGAAGATCAATTGTAGAAATGGGCGGGGTTTTCCATAATTATGACTTTGTGACTGTGTTAACTAGTGACGACCGCAGTGTCAGAGGAGAAGGAAAAGCATGTCGCAACTTTACCTGCCTCCGGTCTGAGTCCAACGATGTATATAAGCCCTAGATTGCAATTGAGGGGCTTTGAAGCATCCGGTCGGCCATATTGCCACTCCCCTGTAGATCAGTCCTCCATAGGAACGAATTAAATTCTATAGTATTTCAATTACAATTTTCAAGGACAGAATGACATGTATTTAGAATGTTGTTGTTCTAGTGGGGACAGTGACATTAGTCATCAAAAAAAAATGTACTTTAAGGAAACATTTTATATATCTATATAAAGTACCAGTCAAAAGTTTGGACACACCAACTCATTCAAGGGTTTTTCTTTATTTTTACAATTTTTTACATTGTAGAATACTAGTGAAGACATCAAAACTATGAAATAACACATATGGAATCATGTAGTAACCATAAAAGTGTTAAACAAATCAAAATATATTTTATACTTGAGATTCTTCAAATAGCCACCCTTTGCCTTGATGACAGCTTTGCACACTCTTGGCATTCTCTCAACCAGCTTCACCTGGAATGCTTTTTCCAACAGTCTTGAAGGAGTTCCCACATATGCTGAGCACTTGTTGGCTGCTTTTCCTTGACTCTGCCGTCCGACTCATCCCAAACCATCTCAACTGGGTTGAGGTCGGGGGATTGTGGAGGCCAGGTCATCTGATGCAGCACTCCATCACTCTCCTTCTTGGTAAAATAGCCGTTACACAGCCTGGAGGTGTGTTGGGTCATTGTCCTGTTGAAAAACAAATGACAGTCCCACTAAGCCCAAACCAGATGGGATGGCGTATCACTGCAGAATGCTGTGGTAGCCATTCTGGTTAAGTGTGCCTTGAATTCTAAATAAATCACAGACAGCATCACCAGCAAAGCAC